AAATGTGACTTATTACTACAAATCTGTATACAAAATATTTTAACATTTTCCCCAGGCTTTCCACATTTAAATATATAAATTTTTTTATCTTTACACTACATTCTGCTTTTTAGCTATCATCCCTTTCTTCCATTTTATTTCAGATTGTATCAAGAAAATAGCAGCCAAATTAGTAGCTAATTTTACTAAAGCAAAGACAGAATAATATCTATTTTAAAATGAAATAAAATGTGGAGAAAAGCTGCAGTGGACTGCACTATTGAAGAATCCTTGGAGAAACAGAACGGCTGTTCCTTCAGAGGATATGAGTGATGTTGAAAGATTAATAACGTTTGGATAACATTAATTACGGAGATGTTATAAACTCTAGTATTCCAGTTGCCATAACAACCCGCTATATGTTGGCTTTCTAATGACATTTTGAACAAGTGCCGAGGCGAACCGCATCACTTCAGAACTTAGATTGCTGTCACTCAGTGATTTTTAAATTGAATTGTTTTGTTCTTAAAGAGTCAGAATATGTCACTCTTCAAAAATATTCTCAAAATTATAGGGAGGAAATGATACACATTCCTATACAATTACAGAGTACTCAAGAAAAAGAAATAGATTTTGTTTTTCACCTAAAATTAACTGATTTTTTATAGGAAATTAAAGAAAAATAGAGAGGAAAAGGGGAAAGATTATGCTTCATACTTCTTAGAAGGCTTTGTTCCCTCAGGGAATTACTTGACAGTAAAATTCTTTCTCGGGGAGCTTACTTTTATTGGTTATTTTCTCTTCTCTCTACCCTCTTTTTTCTTTTCACCTCCTTCTTTCTTCCTTCCTTCCAATGAATCCTTAGACCAACATCTGACCAAGTCAGTAGGATGAGGACATTTTCTTCGAACACCTTCTGATCTCTCTTCCCTCTGTGGACCAGCCCACTCCTTTCTTTCAGGCATTGCCCAGTGGATATCATGAAAGATGACTGGCCACTGGCTTATATTATATTGGATTTTACTCTCCCCAGGAGAATATGTTAAATACATACGCTTGCCTCTGACAAAAGCCAAAGCATGATTCTGGTAGACATGTTTCTAAGTTCTTGCTCGACTCCAGCAGACTCTGCTCCTGCTGTCTGTGGGCCATCCCTCCCCACCTACCCACCAAGATGAATCTTTGATTGAATCAAAGGGGAGCACAGAACCAACTCATGCATCGTAAGTGAGCAGAGTAATCAGACTGTCACCCTCACTTCTATTTTCTCTCTGCTTTCTCGCTCTCTACAAATCAAGCTAAGGAGAAAGTTGGCCATTTGCAATGAGATTTAAAGCAGAATGGTGGTGTTCTATCGCCCAACCCCATGTCAGAGAACTCCTAAGGGAAGGCCCCCATCCTCTTCTCCTTCACACACTCCACAGCCCCAGCAGCATCTCAGTCTGTACAGGTAATGGAGGTGCCATTCTCATATAAAGTTCATTCCATGCTGTATAAACCCTGATCCGGATTTAATGCCCTTTTAAGCAAGGACATGTCTGACCTTTGACCAGGTGTGCCACTGGCACCCATTCAACACTCTCCCTTCTCCCCCTTTCTCTGTATTTAGAACATTCTCCATCCAGGTTTATGCAAGGGCTTTGATCCTGCCTTTTCAAAGCTCTCACCATAGAATTCCTCAGAGGATTCGCAGAAACCAGCAAAGTAAGTTAATCAACCCAACCTGGGGGGTACTAAGATATTCTATCTTAAACCACAGCTATATAACCCCAAGGTTCTCCCTCCACGCCTGAACAAAACAGAAGCCATAGGAATAAGATGGGCTAAATGGTGGGGATAGGTCAAAACAAAGCTCAGCGTGGCCACTGAAGACCTTTGAACTTCTAGACAGATGGAGGTCAGAGGTAAAGAAGGCTGTTCTGAGCTCTTGGCTGGCACATGCTCAATCAGAAGGATGTGCATTGAGCTCCTAAGAATAGTGGAGCTCTGGAACAGGTCCAGAGCCAAGACTGTGTAGAAAAGGAGGCCAGAACTGTGTGGGGAAGGTTGAAGTCTCCTGCCCAGGTTCTGGGCTCTTACAAGAAATGGTTGAGAGGAGATGAGGCAAGAGGAGGGAGGCAGTGAATCAAGAAGCAAAGCTATGATCAAGAGCACCCCCTACAGGTAGTGATTTAAACGTAGTTTGCCAGAGTTGGAAGGGCTTTAGAAATCATGTTTAAACAGTCACTAATATGCCATTATGTAAAAATGTGAGTGTGTAACCGATGTGATTCTGCAATTTGTATTTGGGGTAAAAATGGGAGTTCATAACCCAATTGAGTCGAATGTATGAAAGATGATATATCATGAGCTTTGTAATGTTTTGAACAGCCAATAAAAAAATATATAAAAAAAAAAGAAAGAAATCATGTTTAAATTCCTTCCCTTTTAGACGAAGACTTGAACTTTATGTAGACACAGGGGTGGTAAGTGACAGAACAAGAACACTTGGAACTTCTCACTTTTAGATTTACCTGTAAAGTCTATGCCTAAGTGAGGACTTGTTCATAGTATTTCTAATATTTTTAATCAGAAAACATTTAGATGAAAACAAAATGTTATGATCTTTATATTTTGACTCTAAGCATATTTTTAAAGAAAAAAATTAAAGTCAAACTTATAATAGCTGAAATTATATAAATTTGGTATTGACCAAAAAAAACTGACTTGAAGAATCCTATTATGTTGATAATTCTCAAAATTTTGTAAAATTTGTAAAAATAACAAAATGAAACTAACCAAGGCAAAAATCGCACACACAATAAAAAACTTGTTATTGAACTTAAAAACTATTAAACCTTCTTCTCAAATTATACCTTGCAGGAAAATTAGACTTGGTAAGCAAATGACCATGAAAGAAAATCCAATGTTGACAGAGCTAAAGTTGAGAAAAGTTAATATGGACAAAACGTGGTCATTGAATAAAACCTGAATTACTACAGTAAAATAAAAATACTCAAAATTATTTAAACGCACAGTAGAAATGTACTTAAAGAATTAACTCAAAAGAATCACTTACAGAAAATAATTTCTTGGTGATATTCTCAACAATGTTAGAATAATTCTGATGAAGATGTTTGTTTTCATTCAATAAAAATGTCCACAGGGTAAAAACAATAAAGAAGAAAATAGCCCATGTGAGATTTCTCAGGCAGCCCCGCACTCCTGGGGCTTCAAGTTTTAACCCTTCACCATGCGAGAGGTGATCTAGAAACTCCTTCTAGGGACCTAATGATTTGCCTACACCAAAATTAGATGTACTTAATGAACGACCTCAGCTGGTTGCTAAAAACCAAAGTTTACCAGAAGATCTGAAAGCTCAGAGATCCCCTTCCCAATTCAAGGGGAACTGTCACTTTAAAATCAACCTACATGCCACCTCACACCCATCAGAAAAATAAGCACTGCTGGGCAGTGGAGCACACCTATAATCCCAGTGGCTTGGGAGACTGAGGCAGGAGGATCGTGAGTTCAAAGCCAGCCTCAGCAAAAGCAAGGCCATAAGCAACTCAGTGAAACCGAGTCTCTAATTAAAATACATAATAAGGCTGGGGATGTGACTCAGTGGTCAAGTGCCCCTGGGTTCAATCCCCGGTACCAAAAAAAAATAAAAATAAAAATAAAAAAGGCACTGACAAGGAAGTAGAGAAATTGGAACCTTTTTGCACTGTTGTTAGGAATGTAAAATGCTACAGACATTATAGAAAACAGTGCACAAGTTGCTCAAGAAACTAAAAGCAGAACTACCATATGATCCAGAAACCCCAGGACCAGGTAGAGCAATACTATTCCCCTATAGCCAAAAGGTGGCAGCCACTCTGATGTATATCTCCACAGGCAAATGGATAAAATGATGCATACAAACCATGAAATGTTATTCAGTTTTATTAAGAAGGAAATCCTGACACTTGCTACAGCATGAATGAAACCGATGGCATTATGCTAAATTGAAATAAGCCATTTACAAAAGGACAAATGCTGTGTGCTTCCATTTATATGCAGTATCTAAAGTAATTAAATTTATGGAAACACGAAGTGGATTGGTGATCGTCACAGAGTAGCTGGAGGGAGAAGTAGGGAGTTTTTAAATGAGTATAGAATTTCAGTTTTACAAGATGAAAAAGTTCTGGGGATCTGCAGTACAACACTGAACTATACATTTAAAACTGGGTAAGGTGGTAAATTTTGTGCAATGTGCTTTTTTACCACAGTTAAAGGGTCTTTTAAATCAAACTGTAGTCACGGGCCATATAAGAACAGGACATTTTATCCAAAGATGGACCATATTTACCTATAGTTCCATAAGATTATTATAGTAGAGCTGAAAAATTCCAATCGCCTAGTGACACGGTGGTAGCTGGTGTGATGTTGTAGAGCAAAGCATTATGTGCATGTTTGTGGTGATACTGGTATAAACAAGCCTACATCGATCCAGTCAGACAGAAGTATAGCACATGCTACTGTGTGCTATATATAGCACTTGATGATAATAAATGGCTGTTACTGGTTTATATACTTACCATACTATATTTTTTTATTTTTTATTCTTTTTAGATATACATGATAGTAGAGCATATTTTGACATATTATACATACATGGAGTATAACTTTTTAAATTAGGATCCCATTCTGTGGTTGTACATGATATGTAGTTTCACTGGTTGTGTATTCATATATGAACATAGAAAAGTTACATCCAATTCATTCTACTGTCTTTCCCATTCCCATCCCCCCTTCCCTTCATTCCCTTTGTCTAATCCAATGAACTTCTATTTTTCTCTCCCCCCCCTCCTTATTATGTGTTAGCATCCACAGATTAGAGAGAACATTCAGCCTTTGGTTTTGGGGGGACTTGCTTATTTCACCCAGAAGGATAGCTCCAGTTCCGTCCATTTACCAGAAAATGCCATAATTTCATTCTTCTTTTACCATACTATACTTTTAATTGTTATTCTACAATTTATTTCTCCTGCTTATGAAAGAAGTTTGCTATAAAACATGGTTATGTGGAGCCCACAGTATCCTCATACATCTCAGGTTTCCATGTCCCCTGACGGCACGGAGAGATTGATCTACACCATCTAGTTTCACGTAAGTACATTCTATGATGTTCACACAATGACAAAGTCACCCAGCGCCACATTTCTCAGAGCATGTCCCTGCTATGAATGGCACCTGACTATATATGAATCTTTAATAAGGAGAACTTGATCAACGCAGAGAAGTCAAGGCAGGAATGTAACAGAGTACTTCTCCAACTTTTTCCTGACATTCCCTTTAGGATAGAGAAAACTGAATCCATCTAGACTAGAGGCTATGGCTTAGAGCAGAAATTTCTCTGATGCCTTGTGTTTTGCTTCTAAATACATGCGATTTTTGCTTACTACTTCATACCAGATCAAGGTTTTTTTTTCATATAGAAATAAAATCTTAATTACGATTGAAAGGAAAGTTCATATTTCTTTGAGTGCGATTCTATGCTGGGATCACAGGAATTCCTGTCTTTTATACAAGTGAGTGAAAAAAAAGGCAACACAGAAAAAGACTTACACTAACACATACATGATATATTTAAAAAAAATTTGAAGATTGTACAATTTTAAAACTTTCTCCCCCGCCCCGGCCCAGATCATCTGGGACAATGACATCCCAAGAAGATTTATTGTACATATCCTGCCATTTTTCACTATTCCCTGCTGCCCCTAGAAGTAAAGATAGCCCCAGTTGATAAGAACCAGCCAATATTTAAAGCTACACTTCATGGTCAGAACCACCATCTTTCAAGAACTCAGAACCTCCACAAAAGAGAAAGTTCCCCTTTCCCCTTCCTCCCTGTCAATGCCAGGGCTCTTGAAGGGAGAATTTCTGGTGCCATTAGTGTGGAAGGAAAATCTGGAAATTCAGGTTTTGCCACTGGTTCACGTTCAGGAACATGCACCTGTGGGAGGGAGCCCCTTCCACATCCTGACTTCCTGTCACATTCCGACTCGCACCCTCAAACTCTGCTTAGGCCTCACCTCAGGGTAAAGCCATTGTTGAGTCTACCTTTGAGCCATTCTTCCTCAATCTCTCCTCAGCATATTTCAGCTGGACTCTTCCTGCAGTGACAATCAGGTGACCTGTCTCAGTTGACCTCAGGTGACCTGGATGGCTGTGAAGACACACAAGGCAATGAGGAAGCACAGGAACCTGCTAAGCAGCTACACAGGCCAGCCTGGAGGTGCCCAGGGATGCCACTAAAGAAGTAACAGTAGCTTCCACTAGAAGAGGGACCTTTGGTCCCTTATTCCTGGGACAATCCCATGCTCACAGTACACTTCTCTCTTCCTCTAACTCTCTGACTCTGCTTCTTATCATTTTAGCCGCTTGTTTCTTTCTAGTTCTACTATGGCTCTGTAGAATTAAAGTTTCTAACACTGGAAGTTGCCCATGAAATATCACGGGTTGCATCAGTGAGTCACCTCCTCTACAGGGCAGAATTCATACATTAGGCTTCCACAGAGCCCTCCGGTAAATCTAAATCCAAATCTCCTTTGACCATGTTATAGATTCCTAACCAGTTCAATCATGGCCAATTATCAGGGTCACATGACAGAAAGTGTGGCAATATACATACAGAGAATAGACTTTGCTAGTTTGCTCTAAAGGCAAATTGCACATACTTTGTTATTACACCTATAATGATATAGTATAATTATTTCTTCATAGTCCAGTCCCCTCCACGGTGATAGTCCTAATGCTGCAACTAAAGATGCTCCAGTGACAGCATCTTCATCTGGGCACCTCTGGCACATAGCATGGCACCTGGTACATGGCAGACTCTCATTAAAGACCTGTCAACGTCAATTGAAATAAAGGAAGAATCAAAAAATATGAATTATGATATGAGGATGCAGACGCATAATAGCAATTGGTGGGGGGAGCATGGGAGGAATGGAGGAACTTTAGATAGGGCAAAGGGGAGGGAGGGGAAGGGGGAGGAAGGAGGTGGGAATGATGATGGAATGAGTTAGACATCATTACCCTAAGTACATGTATAAGACACGAATGGTGTGAAAATACTTTGTGTACAATGAGTGACTTGAAAAATTGTGCTCTATATTCGTAATATGAAATGAAGTGCATTCTGCCATCATGTATGACAAATCATAATAAATTTAAAAATCTGAATTAAAATTTCAGTTTTGCTATATTTTTGCATTCTGAACCAGGACAAGTTACATAATCTTTCTGAACCTCTTTTTCCTCCTATGGAAAGAGGATATATTATGAAGTTGTGATAAATATTAAATAAGATGTAGACATACCTGGCACTGTTGCTCTTTCTATGTGAATTCATATATATTTAAAAATCCACCTTTGTTTATAATCTTGCCATGCACTGTAATTACGCCCATATATAGTCTCTTTTCCAATTAGAGGGCAGGTTTAAAGAGCAGGATCTATACCTCACTAACCTTTGTACCTCCATCCCATCCCACCCCACCTCACCCCAAATCTCTGCACACCCTACATATTTAATATGAATAAATAACATATTTAATATGAACTAATGGTTTTAGCAACTGTACATGTTTAAAATCTTCATATCTTAACCATTTTTCAAGAATTAAGAACAAGTAGGAAATATGAAGCATCACAAATAAACAAGGCCAAACCTTATATAGTTATTTTCAATAAATCTTAAAATTATTTTCAATAACTCCAGGTGCCTAACAATCTTCTAAGAGCCAAAGGAAAGCAGGATGACTCTGTCACAGTGTTTCAGTGTGTGTCTCCACCTACCGTACGTACTGGAGAGCAGCGGACAGTTCTTTCTCAGAGTGAGTTTTCCAATTATCTGTCCATGGACAACCAAAACTCCACATTAGGCGCCCGAATGAAAGTGCGTGTCCTCGGGCACCACTAGAGGGCAGGCTAACTCCTACTTCAGGGGCAGTTCAAGCAAGGGCAAGCCAGTGAGGAGGAAGTACGACTGCGCGGGGCTTGTTGCTTGGGATTGTTTCTAAGTGGAAAAATACATGTGGGCATGTCCAGATTTGTATTTCGTGTCGCCTTAATTAGTTATGTGGTCTTTCAGCTCACCTTTCCTTTTGTTTTTTATTTCCTCCTTCCAGTTCTTTCTCCTTTGAATTGTCAAAAAATAAGTCTTTTTTTTTTTTTCCTGTCAGAGGCTTAACCTACAAAAATAAATCAAGGTGCAGGAACATGAATAAACACTGCATAATTTAGTTGGTGATGTTTGGACAGCTGAGGTTTCATTTGGGTTTATTTAAAAATATTTTTATTATTATTTTAGGCTTGTTTTCCTGTTTTTTTCATATTTCAGCCAGCTTGCCAAGATAGGCAGGAGAAATAGGGTTTGCAGAAAGACAAAAACAAAAGAGACTGAGAGAAACTGAATGTGTGTGTGGGCGGAGGGGCTGTGGTTCGGGTGGGGGGGGTTATGGGGGGGGGCATTTGTAGGAATGAAGGGAAGAAGAGGAAGGAGAAGCAGGTGCCAAGGGGCTGGATGGTCACTGAAAATAGGATGACTCCAGGGCCACAATGAGTTCAGTTCCACTTGAACAGGTGCCCTTTATGCAACCTCGGAGCTACCTACCATTCTACTCATATCTCAGCGTTCTCATCTAGAACCAAAGAAATGCGGACTAGATGATCTTCTGATTCAAATAGGAGCCTTTGCAAATAGGAGAAAACACAGGTGTTAACATGTAGGATGAATGCTTGGGGAGAATCAGACAATCACAGTGAAAACAAGTAAACTACAAAGCTGGAAGTTTTTTCCAGCCAACCTGATTGTAGATGCCGCCTTGGAATACCTTCTCCTTGCACAGCCAGGCTCAAAGTCTAGATTGCCCTCTGTTCAGCTCTCTGGAAAGTCCAGGGGAGGAAGGCATAGAAGCTATCAAGAAAACAGACAGCAGTGGTGTTCCAGGTGGCTCAAGGATCTGATCTAACGGAGGCATTTTCAACCCCAAATGACAAATAAAACTCTAACATGAGCTTGCTCTAGCCTAGTTACAGCAATGGTTAAAAGAAGTACACGTCTCTGGGGATTGTCCTGCTGTTCTGCCAGAGCTGGTGTAAGCTCTGCTACCTAAGTCAGTGTTGGGTTTTATAAATTTTCAAATCTTTTTCTTTTACCTGCACAGCTGCAATTACTTTAGTCTGATGGCACCCTAATAATCAGATGGGTTGTGGGTTTGAAGATATTAGTGCTCTCTAACATGGTAAAAGCCCATTAATTACTACTTAACAAAGTTTCAATTATTATTTTTGTCTCTTTTAATACTTTTCAGAGTTATTACCAGATAATCACTGGAGAAGGAGTTTCCACCCCATTTGGTATTCCCTTAAAGCTAGCTCTATTTAACCAGATTATAGTTATGAAAAATTGCTACATTGCATGTAACAAATTTACATAGGAAGAATTGAAAGTACAATACTTAAGGTACTCTGTTACATCTGCAATTTCAAATAGCTACCACTAGGGGTGCTGCTAATGACTTAAATGGTAATTCTCAGTCTGATTCCAAAATTCAGATTTCTAGGCCTTAAAGAAATTAGAATCTTCTGAGTAAGGGATTGGGAAAACAGCCTTTTAAATAAGTCTCTCGAGAAAATTTGAGATGGGTTAAATTAGACATCAATAATAAATCTTTTTAAGCAGTGTATTTCTCTGAACTTCCTCCACAAAAGAATTCTTTCTTTAGAAAACTAAATAGTCTCTGATTAAAAGGAGAGTATGAGTAATCATATAAAGTGTATCCATGCCCAATTGCTCTTCATTGCCATTCTTTAGCTAGACCACTGCAATAGCCTAACAAGTCTTGCTTCTATTCTCCTGGAATCAATTCTCCACACAGCAGCTATAGTGATCTTTTTTAAAAAGATAAATTCCGTCATCTCACTGTCCTGCTCAGAGCCTTCTAATTACTATCCATCACCCTTAAACTAAAACCCAGATTTCTTGCAGCATCCCACAATCAACTCTCCTAGCATCCTTGGTCCTCTGCCTTTGATATTCTTCAAGCAAACCCCAGGGCCTTTGAGCAAGCTGTTGCTCAGCCCTTTCCCAGTTCATTGGAATCAGCTCCTTCCTCACTTCTTTTAGATATCTGCTCATCTGTCACCTCCTCAGAGAGACTTTTGCCTACCACCTGTTGTCAGTCTTGCCAGCAGTCGCTAGGAAAGAGAGGGCCTGGCTTGCTAGAAAAAGACAGAGACTATTGTAGACTACTTTATAGTCACAACAGAGAAGCACAGTCTGTGTTTGTTGGGTGAATTAATGAATAAACTTAGCTAAACCAAGGTGCAAGCTGGGAAAATATTAAAACATCAAATCTAGGTGCAAACAGGGACACGCTATTATTTCAATTATTCAGTAGATTTCCACATGCAGTTTCCATACACAAACTTTCTATATGCAGTTGTTACCAAACACGGCTGATTTTGCTGACTGCACAGTGTGGCAATCAGTGAGTTTTACAAAAGAGAAAGAGTTTATTAACAAGGCAGTCAAGTGTGAAGATAGGAGAAAAGTCTCAAATGCATTCCTCCCTGATGATAGGGTATAAGAATATTCATGGGATAAAAAGAAGAGTGACTTAAGGTTCGGGAAAAGGTGATCAAAGGATGTTACCAGTGGTCCACACATGTATAATCAATTTTTATAGTTCTTCAGAAGACCCATGTTCAGAAAACGGTGACATTAGCGTGAACCGAAGGTGGAGCTTTTTGGCCCTCAGCTGTCAAAAGACACCCATGGAACAGGTGTCTCACAGGTCCAAGTGAAAAGTCTGCAGTTTCACTTAAAATAAACCTTGAGTCTCTGATAAGTAACCTAGGCAACTGTTATTATCATCATGGCCCATCCATCAGAGGTGTTATCTCTGGTGAGACCAGCAGGATAATTATCATACATTGCTGGTATATATGACTTTCCAAAATGTGTGATTTTAAAAGTCAGCTAAAAGCAAACAAAGCTAGAGGATTTATTCAAATGTTCTCTCAGTTTCTCAGTCATGTGCTGCCCCATGATGGTTCAGTCAACGATGGACCACATATACATTGGGATTACAGTGGTGGTCCCATCAGAATGTCCCACTTAGACATTCTGTCACAGTTTGTGTAAGTACACTCTATGATATGTACAATGATGAAATCACCCCAAGGATGTGTCCCCACCATTAAAGGTACACGTGACCATACAGTCAACATTTGCAAATCTACCTTTGTCTTGCCTCTTAGGAGTGATTTTCAATAGGGCTTTGGAGAGAGACACACTTTTGTAAAAAGGCACTTCAAGGCTTTCAGGGTTGTATAAGGTTGAAACAGTATTTGATATATTTTCATCTTCATATTTTAATTAATTAATTATAAATGTAATATTAATAAAAACTTAAGAAAGCAGATGCCAACAAAATCTTCTGGCCCTGTCTAATCCCAGAGCATTAACATGGTCCTCTTCCCTACAGATGATGATGTTGGGCATGCGGCACTCCAGAACCATGCCCTAACCTTGTCTGCCCTGACAACCTAGGATCTCAGGACACTGACCTTCATGGATTGCATCATATGGGTTCCCTTGATCTCTGTCTTATTTGGGGTTTGGCCAATGGGTGGCATCAGGAAGAGATACAAGAATAAGAGAAAAGAGAGTTATTTATTCCTCAACTCCATTCCTGTGGGTTGGCAGTGGCTGCTTTCCTCCACCAAAGGACCCAGTTAGATCATGCGGGCTTCTGCTGAACTAGCCCTTTCTAGGTTCCAGTAGCTCTCTCCTTCCCTTGCACCTGTAGACTTGAGGGTAGTAATGGCTCCCTGCAATTGCTGGCTCTAGGATCTTTGTAAATAGCACCTTTCTTAATTTTTCTTCAATCGTTCCTTTTAGTAAGCAATATGTCTACTACCTAGATTCAG